AAAAAACTTAGATATTTCATTTTTATTAGCAATTTTGTTGGGTATGAATTGGTGAATTTTCAAAAAACGTTTTTTAAAAAAAATAAACGAAGAGAAATTCAAAAATCGGGCTCTTTAACGATCTAGCCCTAACGGTGTTCTACAACGTAAAAACCGCCCAGCATGTCAGTTTCGGATCCTCAATACGAAAACCTTGTCCGCATCTAGAGTACTCTTGACCAATAAATTGACCATAACTCGTTAGTATATTGGAGGTTTGAGAAAGATATTTTATACATTATCTACCCTAGTCTAGACTAATATTCTCTGAAAAATTTGGTTCAAATCGGACGAAAAATAATAAAGTTGGTTTCTGAAGGGACCCGTTAAATTGGTTTTATTGAAAAACAAGTTCAATGTTCAGCACTAAATCATTCTTTTTTTATGTCATTCCAGTGTCTTAAATGTGTGTGATGAAAATCACAAAGAATTATAATACTATTTTATGGAATTCACATAAATTTTCGAAGAAAATAATGAGTATAGTTGTAAGTTGAAGTTTTGCTGCTTCTTCCTTATTCCCTACTTCATTACAGATTATAACAATCTAAATAAAAGATAATGAGTATCCCTACCTATTACAGACCTTAGCAACGAAAAAGACGCTAAATGGTATTAATAACAGGACTTAGATTATTCTAAGATATTTCAAAGTCTCACATGAACTTTTAATGATTAGAATCTGTTGTTCAATGTTCTTATATAGTACAGTTTTTGACTTTTGAGTAAATAAACAATTAAATCATACTAAGATGAATTGCACTCCTAGGTTATCTACATTCCTGTTGTGTATTTATTCTATTTTTTTATATCTCTTAAAAATACAAATGAACTATATTTTTTTAATTTTTAGATCTTATCCAATAATAATCTTCAGCAAATAACAACACAGCCAACAACAACATCATAAATAACAATACAACAAACAACATCACCAGAAGCAACTAATGAATACGCACGACAACAATTTGATCAATAAAATATTGTTAATCATATTGTCAAGTTATTTGACAAGCAAACTGAAAAGCTGAATGAATTTCTCGATAAGCAAACTGAAAAGCTGAATGGATTTCTTGACAGGCAGACTGAAAAGCTGAATGAATTTTGCAACAAGCAAAATCAAATGCTCAATGAACACACTATTTGTAGAAAATAAGAAATTTTTGTAGTGGCGGAGCCAGGGTTTTGAGCTGGGAGGGAGGGGGGAGCTCAACTCCCTCTGAGGGACTTTTGAGCCCCGGTTAGGAATAAAATACATGGTTTAAAAATTTTCCTGGAAGAGGCTCAAAATTTTCTGGGGGGGAGGGGGGCGGGACTGAGCCTCCCAGCCTACCCCTGGCTCCGTCACTAAATTTTTGATTAACTGAATCTTTTTTTTCCATTAATCACGGAGTGCAATAGAAAAAGAGAACTGATGATCAATAAAATTATTTATTAAACTGTTAATTTGCTGCTTTTTTTAATATTTGTCTATGTGTGTCTCTGCTTTTCTGTTTGTCATCATCCTTTTTTTGCTTTATGGTAAAACAAAAATAAAATACTTGCCAACTGAAATAAAAAAAGTTATTTAATCTATTTTATTATATCGAAGACAGTAGACATGTGGATCATTTATAAAAGAGATTTTCTATACAAATACCAATAGTCATATCAATATTTAAAATATACTATTTGAATCTAGTATTATCTCTTTAGAACTTACATTATATATTACCAAATCAGGGTGTGGGTGTGAGTGTCAGTGGTAATAGTAACACCTACACCTGAAGCTCCCTTCCCCAAAATAGAACGTTACCCCATAATAGAAGCCCACCCGGGATATAGTGCCATCTCCAGAAGTTTGATTCGTTAGATATGACAGAACATCATGTCAATCAATTTTCTATTTTGTACATATAGAGTATATTATTTTACATATAGTCGAGATATACACGTGAAGGAACATGCGCCTTAGAGTAAACAGAAAAAGCAAACACCCAATTCGATTATTATTGAATTTAATTCAAAATTTTAACAAAAAATCTGAGCATAGCTATAGAAGGAATTTTCCGAAAAATTCATAATAGAAGGCCACCTACAATAGAACGTCCCAAAAAAGGCCGATTCATTGGAACGTAATAGAAGGCTATGCCTTTTTATTCGGGGGAGGGGGAAGAGGGGTTTATACCTACACTCCACACCCACACCCACACTCAAAGTAATAATTTATATAGCCGTTTCAGAGGTTATTTGATGTGAATAACGCTTGGAAACGCTGACTGGAGGTGAAAACAGCTAGAAAAGTGATGATCACGTTTTTTTGCCATTTGTCACCGTTTCCGAACAGAACGAGTGATTATGACCGTTTAAACGGCATTTTCAGCGTTTCACTTCGTCCTGAGATGTAACACTCATTTCTCTTCATGAACATGTTCAATTCAATGACCAATAGACCATTGAACATCACTGATAATCGACCATCTTCATTTTCAATTGTCGAGTTATTCAACCGACCTAAACAATCAGCATTCCTTCATTTTTCATTTCATCGAGTTCAGAACTTCGTCTTTAATTCGTGAATTCATTAGTCTCTTGTCATAGATTGTCTACGGACACATTGACCGTAATCTACAAAATATATAAGATTAAATTACATTGTTAGTATTTATTATACGATTAGATCTAAAGTTAGTAGTGATATATAAAAGCACATTAGTTGTTTTGTTTATTATGCATTCTGTCCCATAACTAATGCCCTTTCCATTGCATCTGTACTTTTCTTCAAATTCTCACGTTTTTGCTGTTGATCGAATGGTTCACGCATCCATTCAAACAAAATAGCCGATGTAAATGCCGAGCTCAGTTTTGAGTCGAGTACAAGAGCGCATCGATTGATAAACCAATAATAACAAAGTTGAGAGACCTGATCAACAATACGCCTTTCGACTACACGACAGTAAGCTGACATAGCTATTTGAACATCTAATGCTGCTTGATGTTCATTTGAAAGACCACTCACATTTATTACAAAATCATTGATAGTGAATGTCGATGGAACTTTCGTATTGCCATCTAACAAAGAAAAACAATAGTTGATATGCACACATTTTATGTATAGAGGTGAACCTTACTTAACTTAACGCTATCGTGATATTCTTGCCATTTCTTTTTGATTTTATTCACTGTATCCATGTAATAAGGATCAAGTGTAAATACACGTTCTTCAATTTCAAGCATCTTTTTAATATCATTACTACATCGTTCTTCACTTTCATCGATAGCACGTAAAATGATATCTGTTAATCTATGTATTATTTGATATTTATAACTTGTTTCTTCAGCAAAAACTTGATTCAATATTATAATCAATATAACTTTCAAATATTCAATATACGATTGAATTAGGTCTTCACATGGTTTTCGAAATTTGCTTTGTTCAGCACGATAAAGTCGTTCAATGATGCTAAATGATGGAAAATTAGGTAAAGCAACGCCAGCATTTTCTTCAAGCAGCTTTAATACGAGTTTTTGATATCCTGATGAAGAGAAATGTGTAAAAGAATTATGAAGTTTTTCTTTACATTCTTTTTGTCGATTATATAGTTGAAAGGCAATGCGTTCATCGAACTGATCATTAGACATTTGTGTAAGAGTAGCTTTTCGTGACCAATCAGTTGTTTCAACGACCGGTACTTCAATTTTTAATTGAATCTCATTCTCGTATACTCCATGAACACGTGCATTAATGATTTCACGATATTTTTTAATTAAATCTGTATATAATGCCCAACAATCCATTTCAGAAGTGACCTGTCGTGGCATTTGTTTCATTTCAGACTTCTTTGACTTGATTTCCTTTTTAAGTTCATCTATTATTGATGGAAGGGTTGAACGAATACGTTCTTGTTGAATTAAAGCAAGTCGTTTTACTAGTTGTCCACTACCAAGATATCGTTCCGGTACATCTTCAAAAGCTTTATGAGAACGAAAAAATTGTTGTTCTCGTCGTCGCATCTCATCAAATGGAATATTTTGATCGATTTCTTCTTCTGTACGATTAAGTACAGCTACACAACCGAGTTTAAGTGCCATTGAGCCTGGTCCAATACCTTGCAGTTTTTCACCAATACCTTTGTCAAACTTGTCAATTTTTGATACAGCAATTAATTGTCGTTCACCTTTCAACATAGATAAGAATTTGATAATAAAAAACAAGTTATATATTCTTACAATTAGGATCAGTGTTTTTTGCAAGTTGAATCGATTCAGAAGTTGTGAAATCCACAGAAGAAGGGATCACATGTAAGACAATAGCTGTTTGTGGTTTAATATAATGTTCAATAAGTTGAACTATGTCTTTATAAATAGTTTTCGATTGTCCACCAATTGCATTACGAGTAATACCTATAAAATCGGAGAGAAATATGATTTAACCCTTGATTTATCTTATCAAATCGTGAGTGGTTACCTGGTAAATCAATAAGTGTCAAATCTGCTTGAATATCTTTCTTGTAGACAGTTAAGTAAATAGGCTTTGACGAAACATCAAGATTTGCACCAGCTAGTCTTACCGTACAATCTGCTACCCTTTCCATGATCTCCAAAAAGTTGTTGATTCTGATCTCAGACACACCTTCACATCGAATGGTGGCATATTCCGGCTCAGTAGATAGAATATTTTTCATACGTAACTCGAGTGGACATCGAGTGCAAATACTTTGTGCTCGTGGTAATTGAACTCCACTCAACGCTTCGAGAACAGATGATTTACCAACCTTAGAACATGGGAAAGAGGAAATCTATATAGTCATTACAATGTGATTTGATTTACTGATTGATCGCCAACGACAACTATATGTGGAAGAGAAATTTTCTCATAATGTAATGTTTCTCTCATGTCATCGATAACTTTGAGAAGACGACGAGATTCTGGGGCATTTAATTCGTTGGTGAGCATTTTTAGGTCGATATTTTATGATTATTCTACAGTAGACATTCGTTTCTTTATTGACTAACTGCGAAATATTCTAATCAAATTTTTGGGTTGTTTTTGTTTGTATTATTCTTACGTTCTGTTGTCTTTTAATTTTAATTCGAGCTCTCACTCTTTTCTGCATATTTTTGTAGTTTTCTTCTTCCCTTTTATAGCATGTTTTTTTCTTGCACAACTTATAAAATCTTCATGGCAGTATATGTCGATAAGGTAACAAATTCTGTAACTACAAATGCACCCAAAAACAATCATTCATTTTTTCTTTTACATCAATAGACACTATACAGATGGTTTTTGTGTTTTTAATATGACAGAAGTTGAAAATTGTTAAACTTTTCTGTTTTTATGCACTTTAAAATAGAACGCGCACGACAATATTGTGTTGCGTATGGCTTGTTGTCATCATATCTAACTCCTTGAAGTGTCTTTTTCGTTTTTATCGTTTCTACTAAGGGACGTTGTGTGTGGGTGTGGGTGTGGGTGTCAATGATAATAGTAACACCTACACCTGACCCCTCCCTCCCTCAAAATAGAACGCCACCCGGAATAGAGTACCATCTCCAGAAGTTTGATTCGTTAGATATGCCAGAACATCATGTCAATCAATTTTCTATTTTGTACATATAGACTATAGTATTTTACATATAGTCGAGATATACATGTGAAGGAACATGTGCCTGAGAGTAAGCAGAAAAAGCAAACACTTAATTCGATTATTATTGAATTTAATTCAAAATTTTAACAAAAAATCTGAGCATAGCTATAGAAGGAATTTTCCGAAAAATTCATAATAGAAGGCCACCTACAATAGAACGTCCCAAAAAAGACCGATTCACTGGAACGTAATAGAAGGCTATGCCTTTTTATTCTGGGGGTTAACACCCCACATCTTTGTTCTTAGAACTGTTGCTTTGTTCTAATTAAATTTTCGAACGCTTTTATATTATTCGGTGCATTATGGTTTACTATTTCACATAATTTATTGTGTAGTTGAAAATTGTTAAGAATTAAATCATAATATTCAAATAATTTTTCACTAGTTTTATTTCCGTTTGATGGTAAAAGACATAGAACTTATGATTTAAATTCCATATTGTTAATGGCATGACCTATATATCGAAATCACTTTAAAAATATTCAAAACAAGATGGAACATGTACCTGTGATAATGAAAAATGCACGCATGCTTCTATCAGTTCAAATATTCAGCGTCTGCGAGGCATATTTTGCTGTTCAACAAAATTGTTTTAATGAACAATTCTAACTCTATTGTAAAGGGTTGAAATTGTTGTTCTACTGAGTAATTCTCCAACTGATCATCTTAAATCTCACATCAACAATGTACATGCATTTCAAAAATTCCGATCTTTCTATTAATGTCAATGAAAGACCAAATTCAGTTATCAAGTTTTGAACAATAGCATCCTGTAATTCTTTTCGTTTTTGATGACCAATCGGATACGATTGTTTTGAAGATGATAGTAATATACGCTTCTTATAAACAAAATCAATTAATTTTGACTGTTACCGATCTAACTCGTTCGTTTTGTTTAACCGTTCAACGTATTCACTTTTATGACGATTTTTTATATGACGATTAACGTTAGACGTAATACCGATATTATCAAATACTATTTCATTACACAATAAACATTGAGCTGACCAATTTTCTCATTTTTTGTAACATTTGTGAAAAATTTATCTCAAACAGTTTTTACCAAGTCTTGGTTTTTTAGACGTTGTTTCATTTGTAGATGTCGATGGTGAAAATATTGATACAGTGAAGGAACTGGATATAATAAAACGTGCGTTGAAAGACTCAAGGTTATTCACTGTTGTTAACGAGTCGTTTATTTAACAAATCAATACTGAATGTTCGCTTCATTTTCCAAACGATCACTATATATATATATGCGTACGTGAACGAACTAGGAGAAATGAAACGTATTTGAAAATAAAAACATGGATGAGAACGAAAAACACTTGAACAATATAAAAAGAATGAAACATTTGGAAAATAACTGAAGGTGAAAGAAAAGAAAAGAAAAGAAAAGAATGAAGAACACATATATATATGTATGCCGTACATGTCCTTTGTGGGATATATGAAAAGAAAAAGAAACAAAAAAATACCCAACGTTAGCGAATCACACTATAACAATCATAATTATTTTAATTTAATTGACTTTTTAAGTTTTATTTCAACTTCAATTATCAATAAAAGATGAATGATGCGACTCGTGAATGACTCAGCTGTTACAAAAATGTAATATTAAGCTTATCGATAGATATCACGACAGAGTTGGGCAACTCAAGTGTTTTTCAAGGTACAAATCAAGTAAAGTCTAACTTGACTTGGACTTGACTTGTCCAACAGTGAAAAAGAATATTACTTGAAGAGAATCAAAATTTATTAGACACTCTTTGTTAGTCACTTTGTATTCTCGAGTTTTGTTCCTATTCCGGCAAGCATTGTGCCAGCGTTTCTTAGAGAATGAAGCAGCTTGAAACGAGGATTCCCACTTCCTCAAGTCAGGAAAAGCGGGAAAAGTGGGAATAAAAGCAGCAAAAAACGGAAAAATGCAGAAAGCTGCTTTTTGTGAGTTCTTCACATTTCTATGGGTAAAATAACTGGTTGCTTCTTTTCATGCCACTTTTTTATTCTAAAAGCTACAAAACATAATTAATACAACATAAAGAAGATGGATATTTTATTAAGCACATAATTTTTTGATGTAGTTACACTTACTGTGTGAACAGATATTGGTTATCAACAGTTTTTGAGATAATAGATGTTTCTGCCTGTTCGAGCAACAATGAAATATTTCAATGAATTTGTATTTCTGCAGTTATTGAATCTACTGGCATTCGATTACACAAATTATTCGACAAATGTCTCGTTTCCAAAAAAAGCACTTTCGATATTGGCGTTGCTTATTGGAATAGAATACAGAATGGATGATATAGGCAGTAATAGGCTGTAAAAGGCAGCTACCATCACTTAGTTAATGTTAAGAAATTATATTGTCTCAAATCTTTCAATAAAAAATAAACCAAAGTTTGCCATATAAAAAAGCGGAAAAATGCGGAGTAGCGAGGAAAAAATGGAAAAAAGTGAAAATGCCGACTTTTTCTGCAAAAAGTGAAAGAAATTGCAACTCCACTTCCACTTGAAATTCGTTCAAAAATACTTCGTTTTAATTATTTCATACGTCTATTTTTGTTTCATGAGACCAGATGTTATTATTTAGAGATATGATGATAACTTTCAAGATTCATGTGACACCTAAAGTTTTTCTTATAAAATATTTTAATTCTTCGATTATCCTTTATCTTGCTCGAACACGACTTTAATGCGTGGTTCGAGCTAACCACTAATTAGAGTTAGAGTATGCTTTGGAATAGTATTAAAGCGAAATAAACATTGACAGAAGAATTAAAACATTCTATGAGAAAAAAATTTCTGCTTGACATATAAATTTAGAAAATTGTGATCATATCTCCAAAGAATTGTTTCAATTCCTATGAAACACAATCAACATGTTAATTTGCCAAAACATAGCATTGTCTAGATGTGACGTATGTCTACTGTATTACCTCATATTTTTTGTGCACATACATGGGACTATCAGCGCAGTTAGTTAGTAGGGATTTGACCAAGAAGTACTACGATTTTCTTGTTTTTTATCTCTTTAAAAATAATTGAAAGTTTAATCATTGGATAGTTTCTTCTGTTCTTTTTGTAAGTATTCATGATATGTGCCATATTTAATTCAGAACAATTCATATTGAAGTATCTTTTGGTGTCTTTTGATTTTCTTCTCTAAGAAATTCGATTTCGAAGCAGAAATCGATTCCTGGTATGTGTTTCTTTTAGTGTTTTTTCATAGTTTCACATAGTTAAGTGCCAAATGTTTGGCTGAGAGATCCTGTGATTTTTTACTATGCTGTAATACGGGCTTTCAAAAACTATCCCACTTGACAAGTATCGAAATCTGGTTTGCTTTTAGGAGACTCTGAATTCTATATAAAGAAAAAGATAGCATTTCCTTTACTCTTATCAAGCATCTTTTCAGCTTCCGAGTGAACAGAAAAAAATTACTGGGTTATACTCATTTGTGCCCATGGATATTTTTCGTCTTCATAATCCTATTTTAGACTCCATAGATTTTATCATCATTTAGTTTACAGCAAGCTTATTGTACATCAGCCGACACATCATACTGTGCTCCACTCAATGGATGTAGGCGTATAATGCTGAACATGTTGCTCTCACAGATATGCAGGAGTTTCATGTCGTATGCATATCGATTTTTCGTACAAATTAACGCACATAGTCCCAGTGCGATAGCTTGCTTTTCGACATACTTTAGTGCAGCAGTTCAAAACTTTCTTAAAAATTTATTCTAAGCCACGTCTAACGAATGCATTCGTCTAAGCCTGAAAAAATGCGCCAAAAATATCGTCTAAGTGAAGATTTTACAAAAATGTAGCCTAATCAAAATAATTCATCAACGATTTTATAGACACCTCAACAGAAACTTCTTCAAAATGAGGTTTTAATACTATATTCCTGTTCAACAATGAAATCTGAGTAAATCA